TAATAGGACCGAACCCAAAGGAACTGTACGTTCCATACAAAGCTATGCAAAATGGCATTACTTACAAGCTTCTTTGTGACTGATTTCCCAACTCATAACAGTTTTTCCATTTTTGTTTTAAGATTTATTTATCAAATATTCAGAAATTACTATCTTAGTAACTTTCATAACATAATCTCACGATCGAAAGTTAATAACGAAAAATTACCTAACTTTGTACGTACCTAATCTGCTGGCATACCGTAAATACGATTGGATACAATCGAATTTTATCAATTTTTTATTAGCATTTGAGAATAACAAGCATACAGAAATACCGTTAGGTGGCGCTGTAATTCAAACTTCGGTGTTTTGATATATATATATGAGTTATAATAATTAGAAAATCAATTTATTTTTCTTTTATAACACAGTCTTCTTTAAGCTCGATACACTTCATCCAGAGCTGCTTCAATTTCTTTAACCAGTCTGGAAAATACATTTTCTGGGAATCTTTTAATAAGGTCTCTGGAGCGGCGATAGCCTCCTCATTCGACACAAATATTTGCCAGGCGAATGACATTTTTCAAGTGTAGAAACAAGCGCTGTAGATCACACCTTATGAATCCCAGAAAATAGTGCAACCGATAGGACAGTCTTCGCTTTTTTCAGAGCAGGTTCGTCGATGTATGCTTCGGAAAGTATGATAGAATCACGTTAGGGTCCACATTCATTACGCATTTTATAATTCGTTTTCACACAATAAAAAGATTTCGGCAAGAAGTGCTGGTATTGACATATATTATATTTTACAAGTAAATAAGGGAACAAAGAGAAATCAAGTTGCGTAAAATTTTGAAATTTGGTTGGTCAACTTATATCAGCTTTTTTCGACATCACATGCCCATCAAATTTTAAATGGGGTGTCTTTGATAAAACCAGTAACCACCGAGACTTTTTAAGACGGTTGCTGGTATCATTTCGAACGACTGTTGAGCATGTCCACTTCGCACTTTGAATCATTTTTATGTCATACTCAAAAAGACCCGCCGGAGACCCTATAAAGTACATATTTATCAGAGTAACGAGCTGAGTCGATTTAGCCATGTCCATCTGTATGTATGCAAACTAGTCGCCCATTTTCTCTCGAAATTTTTTCTTGAAATTTATTTTCGAATTTAAGAATTTGTGCTCTTCGCCTCTATTAAAATCAGGAAACTCTCTTTTTCGTCCTCAGCAAGCTTCTGGCACCAATATTAATTGCGAGACCGTTGACTTATCAGCGGCGAGTTGCAGCGAACTTAAGCTGGCCAGCGATTTAAATTAACAACCACAGCGGCAACATGCCACACACACAATCACATGCAGTCATACTTATATGTAAGTGTGTGTAACAATAATGATAATAATTGCAAGATTTAATTATTTACACAATTTCCATGCAATTTATTTTTTCTCCACATTTTAACAAATGTTTGTTTTTGTTTTATTTCATTTTCGTTGCACATCATGTTGCATGAGGCAGACATTTATTGTACATGCTGTTGTTACAACTAGTGTTCTTGTTGTTATAGTTGTTGTGGTTGTTATTAATGTTTTTGCTTTTGTTATTGTTGTACATTTTGTTATTGTCGCTCGCCTAACTGTTACAATTGTAGCTGCAGCCAACTGCTGTTTACGCTTGTTACCAACAACAGCGCTGTTTTTGTTGTTGTTGTTGTGCATTTTGTTGCAATAAATCATGTACAGATTGCAACGTGTTGAGCACACACTTTAAATGTACACACATACGCAAATACAATAAAATAAGCGTAAGTACAATTTATGCGATACACACACACACATACACAGTTGCATGTGCAACTTAAAGCGTAAATATTTAAACGCTGCAAATGATTTGCATTGCGAAATGAGCGGCTTTTGCTGCAAAGCAGATTTGTGTATGTGTGTGTTTGGTGCTGCTGTTGAGCGCTCTGAATGGCGCATGGAATATTTTACAGTTTGAAGTGGCATTAAATGACATTGCCAGCAAAAACTAACAACACACACACTCACATACATATACACATTCAATATAATTTATACAAGCATTAAATACTCTAATTACACATTTATTTAACTGCTATTATTCACTTTCCCACACAGACGCGTCACCAATTCCGCCTCCCGCGTAACGAGACATGGCCGTGGCCGCTGTGCTGAGTGCGCGACCAATTTGTGGTTTTGTTGTTTCACGGTTTTCGACACCAAAGAATGCCAAATATTTTAATTTTGTTTATTTTAAATAGACAAGAAATATTTTGCCCTGTCCATGTTTGAACAGCAACAACAATGAATGACTGCAATTCAACTCAGCCACATGGTCACGTGGCAGACAAAGCCTGTAATGCATTAAATTCAACATCGATAAAACTTGAAAGTAGATTAAATTTGCAAGAACATTTAGCATTACTACTAACTACTTGGATTCCTCCTAAAGTTTTGTAATGTAATCATTCACTTTGTTAGTCGAAAACCAGCACTGAGTCCAATAAATAGTTTACAGAAAGCATTACAATAAATTTTTGAAACTTTTTGCTAGTCGTATACCTATTTAATTTTTTATTTCGATAACAATAGGTCTAGTAATAAAATTTCATACATTTTCCTTTAATGCAAGAAAACCGTTTAAAACAAGTTTGGATACAAAACTAAGCTCGGTCAGAAGGTTTTGCTTTGTGTTTGGTGAGATTGGGAAGGCATCATCTACTATGAGCTGCTCCCTTACAGCCATAGTTTTAATTCGCACCTGGGCTGACATCATTTGGAGAAAACAATCAGCCAGAAGCGGCCAGCTTTGGCCAATAGGAGAGGAATTATATTCCATCAGAACAACGCCAGGTCTCACACATCGATAATGACGCGACAGAAGCAGTGACCGTATATTATGGTCAAATGTCTCGTAGCTTTTATATTGTTGCATATAGAAATATATCAACAATTAAAAAAAAAAACACTTTTATTGAAAAAGCTGGTCAAACTTTATACCACTTCCTTAAATCATACCAACATTCTGGCACAAAACTCGACACATGGAATTCGGTTAGTCTCTTCTAAAATTTTTATGATCATATAATTGAAAAGAGTCAGAAAAAAAAGAGAAGAGTGAACACAGATCACAGTGTGAAAATTAAAGTTGTGAAAATATTGTGTTCAATAGAAAACTACTTGAAGCCTAAATACCATAAATACCAAATACACTCATTTTATTTAATCTTTACTTTTCGATATAATTTTTTTAGTAAGATTAATATTTCATTTCAAAATAGACCTCAGTCTTAGCAAATACTTTCTTTATGTGACCATTACCTTGCGGCATAAGAACAAGAAAAAATTTTTTGGGGACAGATCTTCAAGATATTATGGATGTGGCAGCAATATTGTTGTGGATTTTTCCTTTTCAAGAAAATTGATAAAAATTATTCCATCCGCATTTCAAAAGCGTAATTCAATCCTCTCGGATGACTGTCGATTAGGCTACGGAGCGAAATATTATCCGATATCGGCGCCAGATAAGATAATTAATAATTTGATGTTTCATTGCAGGATCACTATTCACAGCCAAAGTTGTTTCACCAACACTTTAATAGTTTTGGACGTCACTGGTTTATCTACTATTCTCACAGTATACTATTTCTAAAAATGTTTCCATATTATCCCTTTGAAAACATAATCCTCTTAGTATAAATTTTTCCACATTTATATACTACATAAGTATGTAAAAGTCTTTTAAATAATTTTCCCAACCGTTTCGAAATGGCCCCCATTGCAAAATCAATGAAATGTGGTGAGTTTACGTAAATAAAACAATTTGAGGCTATTCGTAGTAATGAACTGTAAGGATCACAAGTGTTTGTTTTGATACATATATGTATAAGCAAACAAAATGTATACCCAGTAAGCAAAATATGCTGAGCTAGTTTCAGGTTCACTCTCTTTATTAAAAACTGTTTAAAGCTGGCATATAAAAACACTCGCATAATTGTTATTGTGTAAGCTGAAATCTACTTCAATATCCTCAACTTAACTTTAATAAATATTTTTATAGCATCGAATCATTGGATATAGAAATGGAGGTATTCAAATAATTGGTTCTCGCAATTTAATATTTTATTTAACGGTCTCATATTTAGTAAAGACTGCATTTTTAGGTCTTTGGGCCGAAATTACCACATAACTATACCCAAATAAAATGCAATGCGATCTTTAAACCAAATAGCCGTGAGTCTATAATAGATAACAATAACGTGCCTACAACAACAAACAATAATAAACTTTAGTAAGTGAATTATTCTGTGCATATTTACATACATAAATATATAAGTAGCTGCTGCCATTCAGAATGCACTCATGGTTTCACCCGCCTGTAGAGATATTAATAGCTGACACATTTAAGCAAAATTGCAGTAAATTAAGTTTGAATTCTACATTGCGGTGCAATTAAGTGGTGAGAGTTTATATTGAGTTCAATAAGCGTAATCAGCAATTTAAGCACATATCTATATACATACATATATGTATGTATGTATAGATCGATTTCATACATGTTATTTATATATCCTGCTATGAAAGGAAAATGAGTTGAGTTGCAGCAACAATAACTTTTGGTTGTAATAAAATTTAATAAGCAGTTACAGTACACACCGGTATTCAGTAATAGTAGTGAAGTAAATTTAAATGCCCAATATTTCACCTAGAATGGCTGACCTTTCAGGTTTCTTATGTTTAATAGATATATGTATTTCGAATGTTTGTTAAATTTGTCAATTTTACTTTCACTTTAACATATGTCTTAGCTAAGATTTTCCTAAAAGTAGGCAACAACTTAATTTAAAGCGTTGCTGTTGTTGTTTAGCAACGTAGCCTACATTTTGGGCGATATTGAAATTATGGAAATATATTATATTATACATTAGTTTTCGTTGAAATGTTAATTTTTTTGAAAAAAATTTACTTAGATTTATAAAACGTCAATTACATACCTTTTTTAATTGAAATAAATCTGAAAATATACGAAAATATTGCTAAAATGAGTCAAATTCAAATTGGGTATATATTTTAAATTGTAAAGCTGTATTCAAAAAAATATTTTAAAACATCAAATAAATATTTACCCACACTTTGAAACGTTCTTTGAGGTAAAATTTCCAGAATTATGTGATTGAAAAAAACCATAATCTACGGCATTAATGCAATAGGTACATATAACTAAACGTTTAGAATCTGCGTTTCTTAGTTTGAGTAACACCTCAGTAATATTCTGAACGTTTATCAACATATTGGAACATATGATATTACATATGAAAGAAAAAATTATTTCTAATTAAAGAAATTCTTCTAAATTAAATCAGTAATGGCTGAAATAAATTGAAACAATGTCTTTGATTTTGATATTATAGCACTTTAGTTTGTTTTTAAAAGTACTACTTTTAATGGCACAAAAGGAAAAACATTATCTTTCAACACTTCAAATAAATTTCGATAATATAAGTATTCAGAGATATTAATATATTATTGAAACTGCAAATATTTTTGAAACATAAACATATGACAACCAAGTACTTTAAAATTAAATTAGCCTGTGAAATTAAAAAAAGTTAACAAGTAAACCGTATTTCGGGATTCGAAAATATTTTCGTAATTGATATGTAAGCGAAAATCATTAATTTTATTTGGAAATTCTATTTGAGCTATTTAGCTATAAAAATATTTTTGAACTTCATGAATATTGACTTAGAATTAAAATATTTTAATGTTGTTTCGAATTTCAAAATGAAGAAATTTTCGAGCATCATACCTATGTAATCGAATATTGGCTTTTGATTTTCTCTTAGTATTTAAAATTGTATTGCTATTTTAAAGTATTTCGAATTTCGGGATTCGATTCATTCTATATATAAATTATTATTTCTAAATATATTAAAACTATTTCGAACATTAAAAAATTTATACCACAACGAAATTATTTTTCAACTCTTTCAAAAAAAGTTGAGACATTACAAATTTTAAAAAAATATAATAGAATTTGTGTAATTACGCATTCGAAGAGTAAAAAAATTATAAAGACTGAAATAAAGGGTTTTGGTAAATTTATAAATAAATATGTACGTACATTTATTTAACGAATCAATATCTTTCAAACAAATTTCGGTGCTCTGATTAAAAATCATTATTTTGGATTTCGAATTTTGTTTGAACAGAAAATTTTCGAAGTTTTCGAAACTCATTAAATTAAATTGACATTTCTTCAAATTCTTTATAATTTAGATTAAATCTAATTGCTATTAAATACCGTTAATTTCCGATATAGAGCTCGGATTTCGAATTTTCCACTCATACAAAATTTTCAAAATTCACAATAATGACTAACACGTATATTGACATTCTATTAAACTCAAAAATATTTCGAATAAACGTTAAATGATTGGAAGAAGTCTTAAATCCAGTCAATTCCCAATATATTCGGTAATATGTCACATAGCTTGTAGTCACGCAAGCTTCTATACACGTTTGATTGTAGTCATGTTTATCAGCAATCAATAATGATTAATTTGATTACGTTCTCAACAAGTCGCGCTGTAATAATTCTCTCTAATAACGAATAAGTATATGCAAGTATTATTTTATTGATATATGAGTAAAGGTCTAAAAATAAATCACATTATTTTGAACTGATATACCTATTTATAAATTAGGAATACAGAAGAATATACATACGTATATAAATAATTATGAATTATATGTTTGGAAGTATTTTTAATATATTGTAATATATTGAAGTAAACATATTAAAATCTCAGCGAAAATATAATTTTATTTACATGGTATAAATATATGTAGATGTTATGGGGGATCAAATTATAGTTATAGAATTTTATTTTCATGCATATATGCTTATTTATTGAGAAGAGACCATTTGATGAATAAAAAAAGTGGTAATTAATTTTGACATTGCGTGGGTCCAAACTTGTATGTCGAAATGTCATGCGATAAATTATGATCTTTGAGCTAAAAAATGTCGCATGCGATATTAAAAAAAAATAATTCTATATATAGTATTTGTTTTTATTTTCTATGAGTATATAAAAATGTATGTGCAACTCACAAATATATGCAAATCTATTGACACACATGCATACATATTCACAAATTTTTCTTATTCTTGTGTCAGCGCTAGAAAAACTTCCCTTAACAAGGTCAAGTGGAAAATGTGTAGAAATTTGTATGTAAATATGTCTATTTGTATGTTTGTAAGTAAATAACAAGTACCACGGTGAGAGCCTGGAGTGTTATTTTATCACTACAAAAACATTTTAACAGATGTTTCTATGTCTGTATGTATTTATTTATGTATATGAAAGTACCTGTGTCAGCGCTGCATTGTTGTATGTCATAAGTCATGACTCACCGGCGCCGTAGATAATATTATACAAAAGAAATGCAAAAAAACAACAACGAACATATGTAAATGTGATTTCTTTCTGTGAGTGAAAGATACGAGGCAAGCGCAAACATATAGACAAATATTGCTGCATAAGTTGACATATATACAAATATATTTTTATAATTGTATAAATATACTATATATATTTATATATATTTCTGCATACGTATGTATATATGAGTTTGTAGGAAATTTAATGAGCATAATTGAATGAATTACGACTTTTGTGCTCTCACACACACTCGCACGCTCACGAAAACTGGTGTTTGTAGCATGCATTTGATTAATCTCCGAAGGCGAAACATGAAAAAAGCAGCTCTGATTGTGAGAGCACATGAGAGCGCTTGTTCTTTTGTACAGCAATTTTACTAGCCACCACTGTACCTTGAAGTGAACGCTGATCGGTCGGAGTGAGATCACAGAGGATACAGGGTTTTCAGAAATAATTCTGCGATTTATTAGTGGAAAAGAGTCGAATTGTACAACGCGTCACGGCAATCAGAGTGAGCGCACTACACGATCAAGTAAAAGTATCTTTGTATCCAACTAACTACCTACACTGGCGGCCTACACAGCACAGCGTTAAATACTTGTAGTATTTGTTGTTTAGTTTCTGCAGAGATTCCAAAGCGTTTGGGTGTGTTTTTCGTGCTACGCGTTGTCGCCGTGCTATTATCGTCACGACCATTGCTAAGATTGAAAGTGTATTGAGTAGAGAAACGAGCGAAAACATAAAAAAATCTGTGTGTGAAGGCAACAACACGCTAGCCACTCAGAAATTGGCAAATTTTTAAGAAAATATTACAAGAACAACAAATCAAGGTGTAGCACATTCGAAAGGTGGCTGAGTGACGCGAGCATTGTTGACATTGAATTTGTGCCGCAACGCGTTTGGAGCAACAAAAAAAAATTTTTTTTAATAAAAAAAGTTTAATTTTTTTTTCTCAATTTTAATTTGAAGCGTTGTGTAATCGCCACAACAAACGGCAGCTGAACAGACGCAAACTAGTTAGCTGGTTGGCTTTTAATTAGTGAAACGGCTAAAAGTAAAATAAGAAGAAAATTTCGGACTACGAACAAGTGGAGAGTGAGTCCACAAATTGTGTTTAACTAAGCAATAAACACACACACTTACATATGTGTATACATGAAAAATATTAATCGACTAAGCGAGCGAAGAATCAAAGAGATACAGAGATACTGAGATACTACAATCATCGCCCCTCCCAACCACAACCAAGCCGCACGACACGTCCACTCCAACGCACCAATACAACAACAAATTCAGTGAAAATAAACTGGTCAATCAAGCAGATAATTCTTAGAAGACACACAGGCTGCAGCAAACTGAAACAAGAAACAACAACAAGAGGAGAGCGTAAAATTATATAAAATAAAAATAAAAAAAACAACAAAAAAGTACGCTACAACAAAAAAAAGTACATTACAACAACATAATAGTACACCAAAACTGCAAAAAAAACTAATAATATTGCAATAAAAAGCAACAACAACAATAGAGTAAAACAACAAATTAATAAGAAACTAAAACAACCAAGTTAGTTTACAACAACATAGACCAATAACAAAATTAAAGACAAACAAAAGTATTGCAAAGCAATAACAAAGAAAAAAAATAAAAACAACAACAATAATAATATTTCGAAAAAACAACAACGAAAATAGTGTACAACATCAAAACATTTTACCCCCCATAGTAAAAAATATTACTAAGCCCTAACCGCAACCCCTAAACAACTTGAGTGCAATCCAGCCACGACAACAACAACAACAACCACTCACAGCTACACAAATCCACTATGCAGGCCATCAAGTGTGTCGTCGTCGGCGATGGTGCCGTCGGTAAGACTTGCCTCCTCATCAGTTACACAACAAATGCCTTTCCCGGCGAATATATACCGACCGTGTTCGACAATTACTCGGCCAACGTGATGGTCGATGCAAAACCGATCAATTTGGGTCTCTGGGATACGGCCGGACAGGAGGATTACGATCGTTTGCGACCACTCTCCTATCCACAGACAGATGTCTTTCTCATCTGCTTCTCACTGGTGAATCCAGCCTCATTCGAGAATGTGCGAGCAAAATGGTATCCCGAAGTGCGTCATCATTGCCCCAATGTACCGATCATATTGGTCGGCACTAAGCTGGATTTGCGCGACGACAAAGCGACAATTGAGAAATTAAAGGAGAAAAAACTGACGCCCATCACATATCCGCAGGGTTTGGCTATGGCCAAGGAGATCGGTGCTGTTAAGTATCTGGAATGTTCGGCGTTGACGCAGAAAGGCTTGAAGACAGTCTTCGACGAGGCTATACGTTCGGTGCTTTGTCCAGTGATGCGGGTCAAGCGTTCGCGCAAATGTGCGCTGTTGTAAATGCTGCTGTTAGTGGTGTGTGGACGGGCGCAGTGCAGCGAAGTGGTTGCCACCTTTTCAAGCGTAAGATTTTATGCCGATTTAGGCAAGATCGCTTCGGTTTTTTGTTTATTTATTATTTTTTGAGGATCTAAAGACAAAATTTGCATGCAACGAGTGAGCTTGTATCATTCTCAAAGCAATGCTAATGACTTTTGATACACACTGTTATATGAAGTATTGCTTTAAAAATATGTAATTTGCCTGATAAAAGCAGAAAGTAGATTAAAAAAGCAAATAAAAAAAAAAATTTTTGAAAATGAAAACTCAGCGCAAAATTATTGGAATTTTTATTATTAACTAATTAATGCACCATATGTGTTATATTTGTTGTGCATACATACACACATATACATACATACAAATTACTAGATGTGGAGAAAAGTGTCAGTTTATGCGTGTGTTAGCAGCAAAGCGCATTAGATTTTTTACATTTTTATTTCAACTTTTTCTTATTATTTTCAATTATTTTTTGAATTTTTTCTCTCTCACATTAGTTTGTAACCCAATAAATATGATTGTATAGCGTAGAGAAGAATAACAATTGCATATACACACATATATATATGTACATATGTATATCGGTATATATTCAAATACATATAAATAATTATGTACAACAAAAAAAACGACAAAAGCCAGACCAAAGCAAAAGCTTACTTAATTCCAATTCAGCTCCACAGCGTTTATCTGAAATCAACCTCAGCTCAGCTGGTTTTATGAGTTGCCCACACACTCAGAGTGAGATAGCGAGATAAAAAGAGAGAGCGCACAATATTTATGTATTATACGACAGTCAACAAACTGTGAAAAGTATGTGGAGAAGCGTGTAAACTAAAAATGAACGAGAATTTTATCAGAAAGAGTTAGAAAATATTAAAATTTTAATATTTTTCCAATATTTCTGCTTTCTTTGTTTACAAATATCTGAAATTAATACATGCATTAAAGTTGCTTTGAGAGGGTGCAAAATAATATCGCATAAAAAATTCAACCAAATAAAGATTGAGTTCGAAGAAATGTTAATGAAAAAAATTTTAAGAATATGCATAGCTTCGGTAGTATATCATGTTAAAACGCAATGTTTTTTTAAACATCATTTACTGTTTTTAAAGTGAAATCCTTAACAATCAAACAAAAATTAAGCATTGGCTAATGTGACGTCAGCAAGACAGCTGTTTGCGGTGTCAGTAAAGGCTTATACTTATATAAGTTTTCACACTCTCTCGATTGTAGTCACGAAAGTCCGGTTGCTGCTTATGAACTCTTTGATACTCAAATAAAGTCTAAAATGATCAGTATTGAACAAACATAAAGCTGATTTTTCACTCCCTCGCTCTTTTGCGAGATCTTAATCCTTATTTCAAATACAGATCTTTAGACTTACTTTCACTAATATGTTTCAGTTTTCGCAACAACTTTGAAAATATTTTCAAACCTATGTACCATTTTCACCTTCAAACAGATCAATAACAACATATATGTACATAATTTTGGATTCATTTTTCGAAAATACTGAAAGTTATCAATACATATTTTAATTATATGTTTTACTTACAAATCTTTTCAATAAAATCTGCTTTTACGAGTATTATGTGGTTACGCGTGTAATTATATAAACAAATGTTTTTCCAATACATTTTCAATTGAAATCGTTCAACTTTGTATTAAGGAACTTTGACTTTCTTTTGCGTTTCTTAAATACCACAACTCCCCCTAACGCCCTATCAAAAGGAACAAAAGCTGCAATTGCTTAATTTTTAAAGTGCAAACGACCACTTGTCCCACAAATTTATGCACTTATGGTAAAGTTTCAAAACTATTCAAACAGCTAAGTAATGAATTTTTAAGTGGCTTTAAGAGTTTACTACGGCATGTGCCTGGTTTTGAAGCTTTTAACCCCAAAAAACCTAAAGTGTGTATATTAAAAGTTGGGTTAAGTGTGTGAAACAATTAAATTCAATAAGTTATACTCTTTGACGCCTAAGCACAATACGTCCTGCGCCAATTTTTTATACACTCAAAAAAAGTAGGGAATATCAACTATACATGCAATATACAAGATATACTGTATTGGTATTTCAGGAAATTCTTGAATTTCGCTGAGTTTTTTTTGCAGATCTTTGGCACTTTTTGACATATTTTTGGCAACTATGTAGAGTTACCAGATATTATTGAGTTGATTCCTCAATTATTTCGTTTGGCCAATTATCATACTCGAGTACGCAAAACTAATCCAATGACAAGTGAACATTTTGATGCATTGTATCTACAAGTGATATGTGATTACTCATTATACACAGCAATTTTAATATATAATGAGACAGGACTATATGTGGTGGATGTGGCAAAACATCCCAACCAAGCGCCAATAATTTTTGCCGAGTGACCAAAGATGTGTGTGGCCTTGCATTGTCATGATGGAATACAACTCCTATTCGTTTTATCAATTCGGGCCGCTTTTCTTCAACTGCATTGTTTAATTTCGTTAGTTGTTCAATGTAGACAACAGAATTGATCGTTCGGTTGGGTAGTAAGAGTTCAAATTAGACAATTCCTTTATAATCCCACCAAACTGATAACAACACCTTCTTTTGATGAATACCAGCTTTTGATGTTGTTTGAGCTGATTCACTTGGCCTGCTCCACGATATTTTCCGCTCGATATTGTTGTAAACAACCCATTTTTTATCGCCAGTTATCATTCGTCTTAAAAATGGATAATTTTCATTACGTTTCTTTAGCAAATCGCAGCTGTTTATGCGTTGCGTTAAATGCGTTTCTTTCAGTTCATGAGGAACCCATGTATCGAGTTTTTGAACATAGCCAAGTTGTTTTAAGTGATTTTCAATGCATGTATGTGATACCTGAAGCTTCTCTGCAATTTCACGTGTTGTACTGTGACGATCCGAATCGATTATTGCTTTGATTAGGTCGTCATCAACTTCGACTGGACGACCAGAGCGTTTTTCATCTTTGAGTGAAAAATCACCAGAACGAAATTTGGCAAACCAATTTTGACACTGCCGTTCTTTTATGGCTTCGTCGCCATAAACAGCAAATAACTTTTTGTGAGCTTGCGATGCGTTTTTCCCTTTGCGAAAATAAAAAAGCAAAATATGACGAAAACGTTCTTTTTGATCTTCTATTTTTCAACGAACGCCAAGCGAAAACTACGCAACCGATCAAACAACTTTTTTTTACTGATTGACAGCTAAATTGCCAACTATCAAATAACAAAATGTGTTTTACATTTGGACTACGTCAGCAAACCTAAAAATTCAACTGAAGCCATCTATGAGTGAAATGCGCAATTACTTAGTTGCCAACCCAATATATATATTTAAAAGTAATATATTTCTGACAATGGGATTGTTTCTAGATGGGCTATCACTCGCTAGCCAAGTTTCTGCTGGAATAGCATTTTTTAGTTCAAAACACCAGCAGAAGGGAGTACAAGTTGATGGCGTAGGAAGTAGCGAGAGCTGCTAGTTTCTGCTAACAGCAAGTAGCTACTACCATATGAAGAAGAGAAATAGCTGTTAAATACATGTGATATTTGACGTATATACTTAAATTATGTTTATTTTAATACTTTTTAATTGTGAAAAAAATATTATATTGATAGCTTTTCAAGTGTTAATATGCCGTCATTATTAAAAACAACATATTGATATTTTTTGTTAAACTGATCAATTTTTCTTCTTCCTGAAAGTTAGTGGCTTTAGAAACAAATCAAATATTTTCCGATCTTCTTCCAGCTTTTCAAGTGCTCTGCTCTTATGAAGTATTAAGGTTTTTATAAATGAGATATTTTTAAAGCTACAAGTGTTTAACTTGCGCGTGATGACTTTTGGATTGTACACAGTATGTACTATGTGTACATACATATATAGATACATATGGAAATATATGGTTCATGAAATACTCATAGAAGTTTTCGAACAAATATTACGGAAATATTAAGTTCATACATACATACATATAATAGAAGTATATATATATATAGATTTATGTACATATATATGTATACAAATCAAAAATCATGTTGCTCGAATTTATTTTGATGGAGCAAAATCGAATCAGGCATGCGTCATGAAGAATAACGCAACCGCGCCTAAGCTTTATAGAAATCGAAGAATATATCAGTAGATATGTATGTTTATATAATATATGTATTAGACGATAAATACTTCAATGTCACTGACTTATTGAGTATATTCTTAGAAGTATATACCAATACATACATACACTACTACATATATATCGATGCATATAGTTATACCAATACAAAGCACACACCAGCGTCGACTAGTATCTACTTTTAAGAAATATATTAAATAATATTTAGGCAAACAAACAATTTATCGATCTAAGTTGTGCGATAAGATTTGTTGGCAAATACTGACGTACTAAGGGCATCTAAATGTGTAAATACACACACACATACACACATATATTCGTATGTACCTTGATATGTCTGTAGACCTGTTCAGCATTAAGTAAAGAATTGAAGTAATTTTCTTGTTTAACCCGGCAAGGTCAGCGACGGGCGGCTTTCTTTATTTGATGGCCGGTGAACGCAGCCAGACATACACACACACACACACACATATACTTATATATACGCACGGTAAACAAAAAAGTAAGCGCTGAAAAGAGTTAGGTTCGATTTGTTTGTATATATGTATGTATATCTTTTGGCATACAACAACAAAGAATTGAAAAAAAAAATTTTTGCGCTTAACATTTCCTCTGCCACATGCCACAAGGAATTCCGGGAAATAAATAAGTAAATTTTATGTCGATGGTCTGGCTGTTGTTGACGCCGCAATAAAAACAGCAACAAATTAGTTAAGCAAACACATTTATAGTTGCGTAAATTAACATGCGCAGACAGAAGTGAGTTCTGCTGAATGTAAGAAAGTACGAAAAAAATTTAGAAAATGGTTAATTAAAAATAATTTAAAAAAACTTTTAATCAAAAAAATTTTTTAATTTTTTAAATTTAAATTAGAGAAAAAAAAAATGTTGATAAAAAAAACTTAATGAAGTTTTAAATTTAAAAAAATTTAAATAAAATTTAATAAAATTTAATTTTTTTTTAATATGAAAAATTTTTTTTTACAATGATAAAAAATCAAATAATATCATATATATGCATCATCAAATCATTTGAAAAAAATTTTCATTAAATAAAATGTGTTTCTTTTGTTTTTCATATTAATAATTTAATTGTTTAAAACATGTATTTAATAAATTCTAAGCTACTCACAACTATTATTTTATTAGTAATTTTTTTAGGATTGCATTAATCATAAATAAGTTTAATTAATTTAAATTTGTTTCTTATATATGTATATGCTGAGGTATCTCCCACATATGGTGCATTAATTAAGTTATTACTAAAATTAATTAAAAATTAAGCACAAAATATATACTAATTAAAATGAACAACGCAAACCCGCATTAATACTTCAATATCGTCTTCCCTACATACTGAAAGTATAACTAATTAAATAAGTAGTCAAGTCGAGTATTTTTAGAAATTGCATTTTATCGATATGTGTGCAATTAAACTCTATTTTATATTAATAATACAAGAATTTTGTAATAATACTACTGTCATTTTATTTTTAATGCCAATAACGAGTTTTTATTTCAGCAAATTATTTTTATTCTTTAAATTTAATATTTTTAATAATAGCAATATGTGTTTTTTTTTGTTTTAGATAAAACAAAAAGTTTGAAACTAATTAATTATATTAATAAAAAACTAGAAGTTGAAAAATATAAAATTTGTCTTGTTTATATGTAACACACGAATGAATTTTTTATACAAAACACCATATTTTCAATAAAAAAAATACACATTACTGGAGAGGGTTGACTAGAGTATGGAAAAGTATTTTTAACTAACAAATGTCTTAATTCTCACTCATTTGATACCCATATTGACTCCTTTTAAATTTTGTTGCTTAAATATTCAAGCAGGTGGCAACCCTGTCCAATAATATCTCACATTGAACTCATTCCCCAACCTTAGATAATCTTAGATTTGCACCCAAGTGAAATATTTCATTCACAACATTGATTTAGGTGTATTAAAATTTGACAGGTGGCAATATTCCTCAAAAATTTTTCCTTAACAGGAAATTTTATATATCTTCTGTTTAATACCCATATTTTTGTGTTTTCACTTTAAAAAGCAATCAAAAAAAAACAAAAAATAAAGCAAAAACAAAATTCAAACCGAGGCAATCATCAATAAGTTGACGCCTATCGATTTCACTGTCGTGCCTAAAGGAGTTTCACTAAAAAAGATTGTTACGCGTCTGTACTTTTAAGAAATTGTTATTGTCGCTTGTTGTATATGAAATCATGCTGATAACAGCAAAAAAAAACAGAGAAAGTAATTTGCTCTAACATCAATTCTAGTAGCAACTGTTTCTGGTTGCTTTCTTTAATGTGAACCACAAGAAACGACTTATCTACGATGACATGTCTTTTATTGAGGTAAGTACTAAATTTATATTTGATAAGATTAGTTAAACCAAGTATATGCGGTAAAAAAATTACTTTTAATGGTAATAAATGTATGTTTGAAAACAAAGTTTTTTGAACGAATCGCTTTTATGAGGTTTAAGGTTTATCGGAAAGCACTTGTTGAAGCATTCTTCGAATTATTATGTTTTTAGTCTCTAGGAGTATAGGTCCTAGGTTCTGGTACACAGCGAGCCACGCTAGTGAAAATTATAATTTTTTGGGTTCAGTCTACGAGTATTAGAGTGGTTTAAAACAAAACTTGTTAAAAGCTGCCACTTCTTGGACATTTTAATTTGAAAAAAAAAAAATCATAAAATTAGGAAGGATTTCAAAATAATATATTTATGAGTCCTTATAGTCGACATTTATTTCGAGTAGAGCTGTCACCTATTTCAAAAAAATTATTCGATTGATGGGATCAACGAATTTTTACAATATTGTTTCAAATCAAACTAGTAACATTGGAAGCAGATATTTTCGCACGAAGTTGCCATATAATTGCAATATTAATTTATTGAAAAAACACTTAATATGGGTGTCAAATTGCAGATGTTTAGGAATACTTTAAGAAAACAATTTTGGAAGGGGTGGCAACATGGTAAGGAAAATTGTTTTAAACTACAAATCAACAATTTTTTGGTAAAGAGACAGCAGAATATGTATATCAAACTAAGGAGTATTAAAAAGGCATACAGTTTAAAAAAATTTGGAGCAGGTGGCAATGTTTTTAGACTTAGATTTAAAAGATCTATTTTGTATGTCAATAAATATTCTAATAATTCGAAAGTTGCTGTTTTGATAAAAACGCGTTTAAAGAGAAACTGATAGAACGGATTGTACTGAGTGGTTACATTTTAGAACATATCAAAATATTTGAAGTATTCGTTTAAAACTTTAGTATGGTATTTTTAAAAGTATATACTATCAAAATATGCAAAAACTAAAAAATTTATTATTTTCCAAGGTAAAATTACATAAATAATACAACGAAAGTGCTTTGATATATTACATATTTAACTTATAATTGGATAAGTAAGAAGACTGCTAACATTTTTTGCTATATTATTGCATTTCTTCTTCTCGTTAGTTTACATTTAATATACTATTTTTTTAATTTATTTTTATTATTTATAAGTTCTTATGTAAAAAATCCTATGGTGTTTTTATATTAATTTAGAAATTATCAACAAACCTATTCAAGCGGAATATTTCTGATCAAACTCAATGATTTTATTGAATATTAATTTTACTGTAGCATACTTTTAGGCATGCACATTTCATTATGCCAATTTGAAGTGTCATCACTAGCAAGCAGCTAACAATCTTCTAATTAAATGAAGAGTAAATAATTGGAATGCTCAACTGCTGTGACACAAATATTATAAAATTTCTTATGCCAAAAATTTCCCAAAACTACATACAATATATGTATATGTTAATATATATATATAAAGGAGTGTATGCCTTGGCTAAAGCGCTCGAGTAGAAATGTTGATTGATTGTTTATAAATTGCCTGTTGCTTGACGCTCATTAGCAGAGTGCGAATTCGATGAAATATGATGAGAAAATGAAATAAACCAACAGGAATATTTTCACACTCACACACACATACGCATGCATGCACAAAGTATTTCAAAAACATGCATGTGCGAAATATTTTAAGAGGGACCACTGCCATTAAAATTGGCGAAAAATTATGACAAGTCATATAAATTCAACCAAACAAGAGCACACACACATATGCATACATAAATATATCAGTAATTCATAGCAATACATATGTACATATACACACACGCATACAAACTTTTTGGATGTAATGAATTTGCTTGCTGTGCTACGCGCCACGGGATGCTGCACATTAGCGGTTGGTGGCAACAAAAACACTTCGTGTAACGGCATTGTTGGTGGGATGGCAGTGCGGTTGATTTGTGGGGCGACACCGCTGCCATTGCTGCCGTCATCGCTACATGCTCTACACATGTGTTCGAGCGCCTATGAATGAGTGGGCGCAACTTTCAATGCCACTGGCAGCAGTGTTGAAACATATCTGCACTTCTTATTGTTGTTGGTGCTGGTGTCAAATGGGTGACCAGCCGAGAGCAGCGAAAAGCAGACACTGCAAATTCGCTTAATTGACCTAGATTTTGGAGCCATCGGTAGTCAGCCGCCGGGAAATTTGAATGTAAATTGGCAATAGTTGAATTTAGGGGCGCAACTGACTTGAAAGCGTGGATCGCGAAATTGAATTTTAAGGCGTTATACATATATCAAATATGCATATACAGTAAGAATATTGGTTATTTTATTGAAAATGTCGAATCTACAAAAAATTTTCTGGAATTCTTTTTTGGGCTAGTTTTACTATTGTACTAGCAGTTTCTCTTACGAAAATTTGGATATAGTAAATTTGCGAATTCCAGCATTTAAAATTGACAGACCCATGTATAGTTATAATGGGCTTTGTATTCCTCCTGCTCATATAAGATATATAAGGAAATTTAGTGAATTTTTAAGTAAACTGCACAATTTTTCCATATAACAGTACAAAATTCCAAACAGTCAAATAAATATTCTTAAAAAAATATAATATCATATTTTCCAAATAGTTTACATGATTCTTTTGATTTTCCTAACGATTTCGTTGCAACAGTTGATGTTCGAATGCTTTCAGAGCTTCTGTAAACATCTGCTGAGAGAGGACCACTATAAGAAAATGTTTTTTTTTTGTAGTTTCAGATTTTTCCAAGTAGTACAGATAATGACCCTACGAATCGTATTCACCATAGAAGAATTCCCTTTTGCATTTGAATATATAAGTATAAAAACAACAAATGAAAATATATTTTTGGCAACTTCTTAAGAAATAAAGGACGTGTATAAAGTTTCCGCTGGATATCTCAGTAACTGTGGGATCGCTGTTCAGGATATACATATTATTATTGTTGGGAACTTCTATCCATTTAGATTAAGATCCGTAAGATAAAAAATTAATTTGTTTTTGCCGAAGTGTAATTCCATTTAGACAATTAAGACTTTAAGATGAAAACTCAGTATGTTTCCAAGGGAAGCCACTTCGCTCTGAGAAGCTTAGCTTGCTGCCAATTTGAGAGTGGTGATATCGTTGACTACTTTTTCTCAAAAACATTTTGTTGGGAATCAAAATCAAAG